CCAGCACTCCTTCTGCTTGAGCTCGGCCATCTATCTTCTTCCCTGTACCTCCTCATCCCCCAAGTCAGGATTTTTTTGGTGGGTTGTTTTTTTTTTTTTTTTCCTCTTTAAAGCCAGACTTATAATGCTAATATCCACATTCCTCATCTAACTGCCACATTTTTTTTCTGTTCAGGATCAAAGGCTGGTGGGTGTCCCATCACTACGTCTCCACGTTCCTGTCTGGAGTGATGTTAACGTGGTGAGTCTGCTCTCGCCTGCTCGAGGTGCTTCAAGCCTGTTGCAAAGTGTTTGCGTCATCTGAGCATTTAAACCCAGTGTGACCATGAAGCTGTGGCCGCACGGCGAAGCATCAGGCTTCGTATTTGATGTTACAGATGTTTTCAGTGATAAATACAACACTGTGAGTTTGTATTTACGTTGCTGATTTTAAAAAAAAGAAACAGGCCCTAAGCTGTAGTTGTGCTGATGGCAGCTAAACCTCTGCAGGTCTCCCAATTTCTGTCTCTGCGTAACTAAGCAAACGGGCAGCGCTCTGCTTTAAAGGGAGGACACCACAGAATGAATCTGGTCAGTGCCTTTACCGAACCCGGATTACAAAACTGAGCATCAAAACCTGCCAACGGGTGGTGGTGTTGGTCAAACAACGCAGCGATCCACCCCACGTGCGGCCCCTGTGCAACCCCTCTCTTTTTTTTTTTTTTTTCCTCTTTAAAGCCAGACTTATAATGCTAATATCCACATTCCTCATCTAACTGCCACATTTTTTTTCTGTTCAGGATCAAAGGCTGGTGGGTGTCCCATCACTACGTCTCCACGTTCCTGTCTGGAGTGATGTTAACGTGGTGAGTCTGCTCTCGCCTGCTCGAGGTGCTTCAAGCCTGTTGCAAAGTGTTTGCATCATCTGAGCATTTAAACCCAGTGTGACCATGAAGCTGTGGCCGCACGGCGAAGCATCAGGCTTCGTATTTGATGTTACAGATGTTTTCAGTGATAAATACAACACTGTGAGTTTGTATTTACGTTGCTGATTTTAAAAAAAAGAAACAGGCCCTAAGCTGTAGTTGTGCTGATGGCAGCTAAACCTCTGCAGGTCTCCCAATTTCTGTCTCTGCGTAACTAAGCAAACGGGCAGCGCTCTGCTTTAGAGGGAGGACACCACAGAATGAATCTGGTCGGTGCCTTTACCGAACCCGGATTACAAACTGAGCATCAAAACCTTCCAACGGGTGGTGGTGGTGGTCAAACAACGCAGCGATCCACCCCGCGTGCGGCCCCTGTGCAACCCCTCTTAACTTTGGCATGAACTGATTAGTTAATAATTAAAAATTGTTTTAAAACAACAAATGTTTCTGCTCCTGAATCTGTAATGGGATGGCAGAGTGCCTGGAGCAGAATTCCCCTGTCCTCTGTCTATCCTGAGCTACCCTTAGGGTAAGGAGCACAACTGCCCCCTGATCTGCCGCTTGGGTTCTGGGTGCAGCCGCTGCTGAACGCTTTGATTGCTGCCTAGAGAAAACGGCGATAGGCAAATGGGTAAGAAGGGAAGGGAGCATTTGTACACATCCAAGAGGGGAAACCTCATCAATTAAAGCATTTCCTAGGTGCCGGAGTTGTGAGGTGTGGCTGTAGCACCCTCCCTGGGCTCCCGCTGGATACCAGCTGCTTGCTTCATTTGCTAATGGGATCCGAAGGGGAAGGGGACAGCGTCGTGTGCTTTTTATCAGACAAATAAGATCTCCTTTGTATTTTGCTTTCAGGCCAGACGGACTCATGTATCAAATGTTTCGCAGTCAGTTTTTAGCATTTTCCATATTTCAGAGTGAGTATATCTTAACCTTGCTAATTCACGGGGAAAAAATAGTTTTGTATTTCACGTGCTTAGAAAACACTCCTGCTTGGTAAATACTGGAGTGTTAAACTGTACAAATATAAACCACACCGTGCAAATATAACCACACCGTGCAAATATACAATGTAGAAATACAGACAATAATTAAATGCCTTTAGATTAAATGTTATTAAAATAGTTTGTTACGTTTATCATACTTCTGAATAGCCGACGCAGTGATGTTTTCGCTCTCCTCCTCCAGGCTGTGTTCAGTTCCTGCAGTATTATTACCAAAGGGGCTGCCTTTATAGACTCCGTGCTTTGGGGGAGAGAAACCACTTGGACCTTACAGTAGGTGAGGTTTTCTGCAGTACCTGATCTGCAAAGTTTTTGCGCAGTTTTAGATGTGGTGACAGGGAGAGGGCTGCGTGCTCTGCTTTGCAGAGCTGCCACCCCCCTGCCCTGCGGCCCTACAGCAGGAAGGGGAGCAAGGCTTTTGTCCCCCTCCTCAGGTCCTGTGGCTCTGATCTTTGTCAGCTCTGGAGTGGGTTAAGATGGAGGTTTTGGTCATCCCCATCTTCATCCTCCTCCCGTTACCGCACCTTCAAGTATACATTTTAAATGGGTTGGTTATTGTGGAGCAGGATAGGAATAGCCCTTATGGGGTGGTCTGGGGTGGGGGGGCTGCAGCTCTGGTCCTGGCTCTTCTGTGCTCACTCTTTGCCTCTGCTGTTAACCTTTTCCAGAAGGATTTCAGTCCTGGATGTGGCGGGGGCTGACGTTTCTCCTTCCCTTCTTGTTCTTTGGGCATGTAAGTCAGGCAATCCTGTTCCCTCTGTGGCATGGGGCCTGGGGAGGGTCTGCCGCTGCGGCGGCAGCACCATAAAAAGGTGCTTTGGATCATGTGTACCCATGGCAAATGTTTCTAAAGTATGTTTTGTTTTGAGTTTTTTCCTAGTAATTAAATTGCTTTTTTTTTTTTCTTTTTAGTTCTGGCAGCTATACAATGCAATCACGCTTTTTGGGTTGTCCAGGCATAAGGAGTGCAAAGAATGGCAGGTGGGTGCTGGTTCTGCTCAGCAAAAGCAGGGAGCAGGCGGAGAGGGGTGTTTGACCACATCCTTAAAGATATTTGGGCATCTGACTCCATCTAAATATCTTGGGGTGATGCGGCACAGAGCCTATACAAAAGAAATCAAAAGAAAAGTGAGATACTGTAGGGGAACTTGCACCCATGGGTGACCATGCTGAATGGCAGAGGACGTGGGGGGAAGAAAATACATGTGGGTAAATACCTCTCTTACTGTTTATGTATATGGGCATTGAATAGCAATGGCTGCTGAGTCGCTGGTGGTTCTTTGTGGCTGATCCATGGGTTACACACACAAAAATATGGTGACACATAAACAGTGGCAGGGAGGCCCTTCAAAACCATGTTATCCACTTTATTGCCCCACTTCGGGGGATCCTTCCACTTGTTTTCTCAGTTGCTGTCACCCATCAAACACTTCTGTCCGTTTTCCATCTACACAGTTGCTCCTGTAGATCTGCATTGGACCACATCACGTGTGCCATGGTGCAGATAATCTGCTGGTCGTTATTTTGGTCAGATCTTGCTGTGGCTGGAGTGCTGACTTTGTTTGCTGGCATAGCAGGAGGAACACAGCTTCCTGCAGGAACGTGTCGTTCCCCCACGCCTGTGCCACTGCTGTTGGATGAAGGTGCTTGTAGCATAAAACATTAATCCATTAGATTGGACTTAACGATTTGATTTTACTGCCTGGTAGAGTCCAGCGATGTTGAATATGATCCATGTTGTAGTATTAAAAAGCAGTAAATGCTACTTAAATGATCACGATAAAAATACACGTCTTGTTAACCCACACACCTGGACGCAGGGGCGTATATTTGGCTATGATCTTCTCTCCTCGTGTGCTAATGGATCCCTGGACTTGCCAACCAACCCCCACCAGAGCTTGCTTCAACGTGGCCAGCACAATACCCTCAGCTCTCCTTTTTTTTTTTCTCCTCCTTCTCCCCTCTCAGGTTTTTGTGTTGGCGTTCACGTTTCTGCTGCTCTTCCTCGGGAACTTCCTCACTACTGTCAAAGTGGTGCACACTAAACTCCAGAAAAACAAAGACAAAATGAAGAAGCTGTGAACCTCCTTCCCCCCCTGTTGTGCCAGCTGCTGTCCCTCCGCCCACAGCTGGCCCTGGCTTTGGGACGGATCCTGCTATGAACCCCAGCTACGCCGTGGATGGGCTCGGAAGGACTCGTCCGTCCCTGTGCCTGGCGAAGGATACGGACTCTGCCAGCACAGACTTGATATTACGCAAGCATGGCTCTCCACTCCGCGGTCCTGCTATTTGTGTATATTTAATACAAAACGTGTTTGCTTTTTTTTTTCTGTATATACAGCAGCATGCACCTGCCTGGCGAAGCGCCAGTGTTGGGAGAATGTGGGATCTACTGTAATTCCGATTCTGGAATGATATTTAACAGTTTCCATTTTTATTATTTAAATTCTGGGTATTGGATATGCAAAGGTTTACGAACACTCCAGGTTGATCAGTAATACCGACCGAATGCTGTTTTTTAAAGGCATTTGTTTAAGGCATATTTTCAGTGGCAATACTAACCTGTGTGTACTGTGGAGAATGTGGGATCTACTGTAATTCCGATTCTGGAATGATATTTAACAGTTTCCATTTTTATTATTTAAATTCTGGGTATTGGATATGCAAAGGTTTACGAACACTCCAGGTTGATCAGTAATACCGACCGAATGCTGTTTTTTAAAGGCATTTGTTTAAGGCATATTTTCAGTGGCAATACTAACCTGTGTGTACTGGGAAAAAAAAAAAAAAAAAAAAAAAAAATGCCCATCTTTGTACCATAGTGCTGCTATATACACTTTTAGAAAGCTATTTAAAGAAGAGTTCTCTTTTGGAAACAAAAACAGGCAAGCAAAACCAGTTGTACAATGGCAGGGAAATCTGCTAACCCTCTTCCAGGGAGACCAGGTCATCTGGCCAGGCCTGGAAAATAAACTGTTCAATATGCAGCTGCTTCAGCCCCTTTTTAATAACAAATATTTACAAATAACAAATATAACTGCCCTTTAGGTTGTTTTTTTTGAGAGACTGTTTTTCCTTAAAATGGCCTTGATCGGTGGAAAGAAGTGCAGTTGCACTTTGGTTTCTGTTTTCAGTATTTTTTGCTCTTGGTGCTGTTCTGGGAAGGGCAGGACAGCCTCAGCAGAAATATTAAAAACTTCCTTTAGATGCTGCGCTTGTACCCATAGTTGGGAGAATGTAAAGACTCCTTCAGGAGGGTAGCAGAGGACAAACACCAACTGCCATCCCGCTTAACTCCTTGTGCGGCTTGAACTTAAACCCACTCACTGAAATAAGCTCGGTTTGGGTGCTGTGGCGTCTGTACCTCCCAAGGCCAGCTGCAATATCCTGAACTGCGTTAGGCAGCGTCTTTCCCAAGGGCGAAGGCTTCCTTTCAGCTAGCACGAAGCCCAAATTGGGCACGTGATCTGAAAACTGGGCCCTTCTCCCAGTAAGCGTGCTCGTGAAGAGATGTACGCACTGCGGACTTGAAATGGTTTCATCGGTTCTTCTGTTGCTGGGAGGCCAGCAAAATTACAGCATCACTGCCCCATGGGCACGAACAATAAATGGCAACTTGTGTATTTTGAACAGCTTTCATGCTAGCTGGGCTCTATCTTGCTAATGTTTGACTTCTGCCCATCCTGTGTTTTTTTTTTTTTTTTTTTTTTTTTTGAAAATCCTTTAAACTCTCCATTTATGAAATGGAAATTGGAACCTGCTGGATCTGAGCAGTGGACCTGGTTCTCCAGGGGTGGGGGAGCTCTGCATGTGGTGAGTAACTCGAGTCCTGCAGCATGAGAAACTCAGATTAAAAAAGAAAGAAAGATCCCTGAGGTGGAGCCGGGGGTAAATGCAGTAACTTCCTGCAGGTTGATGTTTCGGTTTCGTACAGCGTACGGTGATGGGTGCTTCTGTGTCTTTTCCTGACAAATGTCTTCTCGTGGAGAAAGCTGCACAAATCTTCAAGATTTTTCTGGAGTCAAAAATGTGCACAAACTTGTAATTTTTTTTATTTTCCATTTTAAGCTTGTAGGGATTCACAAACCTTAATTAAATGAGAACAAGTTAGGGGAAGAAAAAAAAAAGATTTTGAGGATCAAGATCTCTTTACCCTGCATGTAAAATAATGATGATGGGTTGCTCCAAAACAGTTTTTCACCAGCTGGTCATGTAACCAGCAGAGGATAAGTTGCATGAACTCTGTATGACGTACGGTTACCAGGATCTATACACAATGTTTGTCTAAAAGACCCCTGGCATCCACTGCCTAAACTTTTTGGCAAAGGTGGTGTCTTGTTACCGTTACACAAGTCCTGTGTATTCTCCCTTACGCTGGGCTGTAGTTTAATTTATACAGAAAGCTTCTGACAACACCTGTACTGCAGAAACCTCCTTCCCCGACAAGGGTTTGGCTTATGATGGCTGCAAGCTCGTGATTGCTCCTCAGATCTTGAGATCTCGCTGCCTGAGGATGTGCAGAAGAGCTAGGAGATTGGAGGCACACGCACTAGCTTGTGCAGTGGGAGCATCCCTCATCCTTAAACAAACAGCTGACACCTTCATCACAAAAGGGAAAATTTTAATTTCTATCAGTAGAGAGGACTTCACCAATTCACAAACATGAGTTAAGTCTTTCCCCTAGCATGCACCACTATTGCACCTGCCATGTATTAAATAAGCTATCTTAAGTTTACTGTAAAACTGACTTTACATGACATGTAGTAGCTGCTTGGAGTACTTCTAACTTTGAGTGCTGTAAACTTCAGTATTTTCCACGATATTCCACTTCGGAATTGGAGCGACCACTGCATTTCCATTGATAAATACTATTCCAGCAGCAGGCTCTGCAGGAGCAGCTCTGCAAAGCTGTCCCAGTGGTGCAGGGCAGTAGTGGATGCTCCGTCTGCGCGCTCTGGGGGCAGCTGGAGGCTGACTCCTAATGCTGCTGCCACCGAGTAAATCAATTTGGAAATTGTTCAGACAGAACTTCATTTCTGTCTCTTCAAAGGTGCCTGAGAAGCTGCACTAACATCACTTCTAAAAGATGTGGCTTTTCTGCTTGAAAAAGAGAGTATATTGTCATTATGCCACAATTATTTTGCAGAGGAAAAAACCTCACTAATAAAGTTGTATAGTAACAGTCATTGTTGCAATTTAAATACTGAATCCAAGGCCTGGCTGGTGGTCATTTGCAGTTAGGAGCAAAAGCCAGACCGACAAAGGCACGCAACGTTGGTTAACCCCGATACTGAGCTTAGAAAACTTTGTAAGAGCAGTGCAACAAAAGTGCAAAAAACCATAATAATAATTACAATTTGAAAATAAAAGTTTTAGGAATACAAACATGTCATGGGGAAAAAAAAAAAAAAAGTCTTTAACTGTTTTTAAAATCTGCATCGCTTTGCTCTCGTGCAGTCAATGCTCTCCTGCAGTCCAGATCATAACACTGAGCACACTGTCCGTTTCTTTTGGCGCTTCGCTTTTTTCATGGCACTCAGTGCAATGGTTGTTGCTTCTTTAAAAACATTCTCTATGTTTTCACGACATTTTGCTGAGCACTCCAGATAAACTTCTGCATTAATCTGCTGACAAGCTGCTTCACCCTGGAAAGAACAAAAGGTAAGAAAAGACGTAAGCCCAATGTATAAGAAGAGGCAGGTGAGATGGGAGAGAAAGGGAATTATTTTGTACATCTTTGTATCCTGAGGTCAGGAAGAAAGCCACCTTCGAGTACAGTGCTAGGTGTAAGTGTACAGGGTTGTAACAGTACAGGGTGTAAGTGGCATTGGTAATAAACTGAGGCACTGTTAAATAAATTAGGTTTTTTCCCCTCTATGCCTGGCCTACAGTGCATTGTAGACTCCAAGATGCAGACTGCTGATAGTGTAAAAACGTTCTCAGTATTAAATTTGTTTAAAAGAAAAGCTGAGGTAGATCCTCAAGTGAGGATAAGATGTCTACATGGGGTTATTTTTTTCAGGCCTGACCGTAACTATTATGTGATGTCACCTCTAGTATTGAATGTCACATGCAAGAGCAGAATTGGGACCAGTGTCTTGCTGGTGCACATGCAGGAACCCTAACTTTTGCCTTGGAGCATCGCAGTGGCTCAGCCGAAATCCTTGTATACACAAATGGGTGTCTGCGTTTCTCAACCTCACCCAAATGCATGCAACGGGAACAGACTAGAATCTAAAACATCTGCATGCAATCCTGGTTGCTCAAAATCACTACGGACAAACAAAACACAGTGATTTCTTACTTTGCTTGTGATCCTTTTATTGCCATTGCAGAGTCAGCCCCCAGTTTCTGAACACTGGTGAGCCCTGGAGTGTGAATTGCAGGTCTGCAACCCACAGCTCACAAACTCTGCATTTATTCATTACGTGCCCTGGGAGTGGGACCACTTGAGCACTCGGGCTTCTACAGGGGGATTTTTCTTCAGTGTATTTAAGCGCAGTTTGTCTCCTTCCAGTTGTTTGCAAGCTGCAATGCTGGCAGATACTGTTCAGCTCCTCTGTGCCTGGCATCAGAAGCATCACGTCGTGTGACTCAAGATGCCATCAGCTGTAAAAGACTGAGGTAGCGTATATTTAAGGGGAGAAAAACCAAGTGGGAGGGCTCACATAGGAGACAAAGTTTGCACATCATGTGGGCCCTGGAATTTAATTGCATGAGGCCTCAGCAGACTTGCCAAAAGTGTCTGTTGCTTACCCCGAACTTTGCATGCGAGGGTGATGGAGGGAGTTATTAATGCAAATGAGGGACAATCTGCAGCTGCTCACAAAGTGACAGGACAGGCATCTCATCTTGTGCGCAAGGAAGATAAGCTAAAAGCCCAATGTGGTTTAGTGGTGATGCAGTTGCAGTTTCTTTTCACGATGTTTAGAAAAAGGAGTGATGCAGTCAAGGTCTTGGTGCACTTAACCTTGTTCCCTGGACTTGGGTCTCAAAACAGTTCGAAAGCTGCTGCTCCTGCTCTGAGATGAGAGGAGAAGGATGGCTTTGTAGTTTAAAAAAAAAAAAAAAAAGTGGGAGACCAGAGCAAAGGTCTCGCGTGACATGGGACAAGCTGTTCCACCACCAACTGTTTCTCCTGTACCTAGGACAGCTATGCCGGTGGTGTAACACTAGTTGTAAGTCTCACTGCTTTGTAATACTTAAATTGAAAACATGTGATAATATGTAATTTTTTTTTTTAAGATTACTTTAGAGACTTCAAAGAAAAGTCTCTTAGGTTAGAGAAGCCTTGCAGATGTTTTTGCTATTGTCCTTGAAAGGATTTATTTTTAAATAGGGTTTGCAAAATACATTTTTTGCAGGAGGGTCAGTATTTTTAATCCTGTAATGTGTATCCTAGTGTCTCCAGTCTTTCTCACAATCCTGCTCAAAGTACCAGTGATGAGAGCAATGTATCCTAATAAAAATTATGAAGGGAGTCCAAGAAACGTGTCAAGGCTTACAGATTTGTATCATTAATAACCCAGCTGTGAAAGGAAACAAGAATGAGAGGTCGTAGAAGACGTAGCCAGTAGTTTCCTTTCAGACACCTCAAGATATGCAAACTGCTCTTCAAATTTCTCTTTACTTTGATACAAAAAATGGGTGGTGATTTGGCCACTTCCAAAAAGGACTTGCAGAAACCTGTTAGTGCTGACTGTCAGTAATTTCTTTATCTGGACACTGTGATCACCTAATTTTGGAGTATCTGTGATTGTGCTTGTAAGCGATGATGCCACTGAAGTAAGCCTGCTTTATCTCTTGCAAAGAGGACACCGCTTTAAATGCGCTTGTATTTACCTGGTTGTAAGTAATGGGTTCCTGCTTAGAAGCCCTGAGCTTGCGCAACTGTTCTTTGTCTTTCCGAAGGTCCGTCTTGCAGCCAATCAATACGAGTGGGACGCCTCGGCAGAAGTGATTCACTTCAGGATACCACTGATGGCGGAAAAACAAAACTTTTACATCTGTTTTTTTCTTCCCCCCCCCCCCCCCCCCTCAAAAAAAAAAACCAAGGTTGAATTGGCTGGGAGAACTAACCCAAGAAGAAATTAGCTCATTGAAATGAAGGGGATAACGCCCTCCCCCCCCCCCCCCCCCCCAAATTAAAACAATAAAGCCAAGGAAGAGAACCAGCATTTAATATATCCTGCAGTTTCAGCATTTTTAAAGTCATCAACGTAGTGGTAGGGGCTCAACGTGCGCTATTTACATTACAGAAACATTTAAGTCCTACCCAAAGTCAGTTGCTTTATAACATCTGCTGCTACGCCAAAGCGCTTACTTAACATCTGTTTAAATTCAGGAGAGCTCCTCTAAAGTCATATTTAAGAGAAGAATTTGGACCAAATGCTTGCTTTGTTTTTCTGGTGCTGCGTACAGGAATGCTTTGGAGTGTTACAGAAATCCTAGTATGGACAAGGGGTTGCTTACATGTCTCTCCCCTGTAGTTAAATGTGCACATGATGGAAGTAGACTTGGATCTTCAATGCCTGCATGCAATCTTGGTTGTGTGACATCACTACAGATAAAGCGGCGATTTCACCGCGGGTTTGTGATCCTTTTAGCGTACTGCAGAGTCAACCCCAGTTCTGAGCACTTAGGAGCCACGGAGAGGTGAGCTCCAGGTCTAAGGTCTGTGACCTGCAGCTCAGTGCGTGAGGAGCGATCTGTGCATCTACAAGCCCAGGGTACAGGACACTAAAAGCATTGGCTTTTTTACCCTGACACCCTGTCATGTATCAGGCATATGTAATTCATTTAAAAGGTCGAAGCAATTATGAAAGCCTCTTACCTTAGCTGCTACATTATCATAGCTAGTGGGGTTCATGACATCGTAACAAATTAACACGACGTTTGTGTTCTGGTAAGAAAGTGGTCGTAGCCGATCGTAGTCCTCCTGCCCTGAAACAGAGAAAATGCTTTGGGTAAAAGAGATCTCTGTCTTTCACAAGCAGTGTGATGGGAATATGTAAAGATAGCTACTTGAGCTCAAGAACAACGGTAGTATAACTGCATAGACTGAAAGTTATCCATACTTGTAAAATTCCTTCCCTTAAATGCAGGAGACTCCACTGACAAAATAGATGCTTTAGAAATTAAAACTTGCCAACGACATGTTTTATGAAAAGGTTTTGTCCAACTGCTAAGTACTTAGAAACAGTTCTAATTGCTGATTGCCAAGTTGCTGCTCACAAGCAAAATCATCAAGAGGAATTTGACAGTTATCGATTAAAACATTTGCAATTTGGCAGCGGTTCCATTCTCCCAAATACATTTGCATACGTGATGCCGTGAGGAGAAGAAACAGCGAATTTGCTAGATGGAAGTGCTGAAATAAAAATCTTACTGGCAAATTTGCTTTTCCCAGCCCAGCGAGCTGAGAGGAAGCAGCAATTAGCACGCTGTGCCGTTAGCACCGCTGCTCACTGTAGCAGCACACACGTGATTTTATAAGGCACGCTGCAACACGAGCCAGGCTTAAGTGGTCTTTGAAGCAGGACAACACAGCAGATCTTAGGGATGCTGCTGAATTCTGGAAAAGCAGGGGATTTGTCGTACTTCTGATTAAAGATATTCTAGCACATGATCTGACAAGAGGAAGCGAGTTTGCTTCAGACCTGTACTCTTCCTCTTGCTGTACATATGATTTAGCAGTAATCACCGTGCTGGGGTCTGAAGGTGCCTTGCTTTGAGAGATTAAGTTCAGGAAAGCAGTAATTACTAGATACAGTTGGCAGCTCAGGAAAAAAAACCCAATCTTTTGCATTTGAGATTTTTTTTCAGAGATTTAATAAGGAAGAAGGTGTGATTTAAGCAGTCTGTAGAAGATCTGTTTGCCACCTGAATGCTGCCCCTGGAATCAGATATGTCTCTGTGGTGCACTGAATTTCCAAAATGAGAACTGGGAATGCCATTCCTTCCCACGATCACCACAAGGTACGCCCAGCCCAGAAACTGCCCTCCAGGGAAGTTACACATCTCAAATCTTTGTATTGATATTTCAAATAAAGGGATGCTGAAAATTTCAGCATGCCCCAACTTTATACCAATTATTCCTGCCCTGGCTCAGTCCCAAGTCACACACTCATCACTCTTGCCAATATGCTTGTCTCCAGCTGCAATCTGAAGAACTGCAGATACCAGAAGGCCAATAACTCTACAATACTTTGCCCCCCTCCTTAATTTAAACGATGGGTCAACATACAGGTTATTATATCCCTACTGGGTAAGCCATTACTCAGTTTGCCTGGCATGTTTGTGAAATGGGAATCTTAGGTTTGGACCACTCTGTATTTGAGCTCCTGCAAGAGCAGCATGCTCCACGGGCAAGGTGCAGAACAGAGAAGGATCGATCCCTCGATGTTTAATACAGAAATAACAGACAATTGACAAAATTATGCATGTTGTATAAACATTCAAAGCAAAGACTGTACTGCTTAGCCGTTCTTATTCTCCCAAATCTCCCTGCTTTTTTGCAGCCGATTTACCATTTTGTTGCTGAGATAATCCTCTAAATGCATTAAGCATGTCAGGTGCCAAATCTTTTTTTTTTTTCCCAACTTCCTCTAGCATTACGTGCTTTGTACGATTTTCTCTGTTCAGTTTCATGCCTCTGAGCTTCTACCAATGCAGCCTGTAAAATCAAAAGGTCCTCCAAGTTATTGCTGGGAATTTGTGAGGCAGACAGGGCCGTCCCCTTGGAAGAACCACGTCCTTTTGTTTGGAATCGGAACATACAGCTAAAACCATACTCTCCTGGACTGGGATAACAGAAGAGGTGTCTTCAGTGATGCAGCAGAAATATGCTGTATTGCAAGTCAAAAACTATAGATAAGCCCTAGTGAACTGCACCTTCATCTTCAAAACCAGCTGTGCAGTGATGGCTTTTTAAGCCAACTGAGAAAATAAGTGCATGAGAAAATGCTGCTGAGTAAGATGCAGCTCCATGGATATTTGGGATTTCAAATAGAGAGCACAGAATGAGGTATAGCTCAGAGACCACAGGGGGAAGGTTAGATGGTAATTGCTTAACTTGTATTATAGCCGGATGATTGCAGCGCTCGCTTGGAAGGAGAGGAAGCTATTCTTTAAGAGCGCAGATGCAGTTCTTCAGTTGCTGAGGATGTAACAGGACCCAGATCAAGCTGTGTCTAAACATCGACATCCCTTTTACTGAAAACAATCCCTTTCACCCCTGTCCTTAAGTGCTGCTGATGCAATGCAAGAAAGGGCCTGGGAGACTTTTTTCTCTGTAAAGCTGCTCAGGTCAGAGCTAATTTGGCACAGATTGAGGTCTTCTAGTAGAAGAGTTTTAAAATGAAAGAACAGGGCTGAACCTAAGCAGTAATTGAGTGTGTGTGCAAAGCCACTGAGCGTGCTTCCTCAAACACGGGTAGCTGTTTTCTTTCCACAGTCAACAAAAACCATGCTGTGGAAGAATCGGTCAAATATATACCTGTGTGCAAGCATCCCTGTGACTCTCCTCTGCCTTCCTCAATTCATTGTAGCATCAGAGACCCTGTTTTGGTTTTTTTTGAAGAAAAAACTCTGTCCAGCTGAATTCACCTAAAATTTGCTAATTCTTTGCAAAGATCACACTCCTCTGTGACATGCTGCGTAACCCACGTCGCTGCAGTCAGGTCCCACAGCGGGGTGGGACCTCAGGTGATGGTTGAGGGTGAAGAGGGGAAGAAGTGAAACCACGGCTCTCTGCGCGTTCACCTCTGTTTGCTCTTCCTCACCCATTCACCATCAAAGAAGTGGCAGCCTGTGCATTGCTCAATCTGTAAAGAAGCTCAGCACCCGTTGCCATCGACAGGAGAGGGTAAATGATAGAGCCAAAGACTTGCCAGCCTAGGAGTCTACCAGTACATGCTGTCCTGATGTATGGCAGCACCATCCATCACCACCAACTGCCAGTGGGCAAGGAAGAACGTAATATCCTGCCACCCTGTCCAGACCAGCCGACCGCTTCCTACGCGTGGCCGTGTGTTGGTCTGTAACACTCCACACTCATGGTTTAGGATCGACATGGAACCGTGTGATGGCGAGCCCTCGCAGGCACGCAGAAATGCACCCAATTCTCTTTGATTTGTTGTCCTGCAGGCTCCATGGAAATGCTGTGCTTATTAGCTTGCCAACTCTGTTTTTTCACTACTCACTTTCAAAAAAATCGGGAAACAGACATTTTTGGCAGGAATAAAACCAATAGAAGAGCACACTGGGTGGAGGGGCACACTTCAATTAAAAAGTTGGGGTGGTTTTGTCTTCCTCAGGCACGCCCTCCCTTTCAAAGTTACGAAAAATTATTCTTGCTTTATATACCAGCTTTAAAAATTTCTCTCAAGGCCTCAAACGGCCATGCATCTGTCATTACAGACCTGAAAAACCCCGCTGGAGGCTTCGCGTGTGCTTCCTGCCAGTCACAGCGAGCACCCACAATGATGAGGCATTACTTCCTCCCCAGCCTTCCCCAGCCCAGCAGAGCTCGGCTCTTTACTCTGAGAAAGTCCTGCACTGAGCAGCATCAGAAATTGAACCTTGTGGCTGAACTGCAGCTAAAGCATCAACGCTGCAGCCTTAGTATGTAAAAAATGAGAGTTAATTTACCTCTCGATGCCTTTGCCTCTATCGAGCACAGCAAGAAAGAGAAACTTTTAATTGAATAAGCAGCTGCAAAGCCCGTTTGCAGACAAGACAAGTGATATTACCAAGTCTTTACACATTGCGTATGTATACCACCAACTTCCTGCGGCAGCAAGAGGTGTCTCTGATGAGGAAGATAGAGTAGCATGGTACAAAAGCCTCACAAAAAATTCTTATTCTAGCGTATTTTAGACTAACTTGATTTGTTACCAAAATTCTTGTCAAGACAAAATAAGTATTTTTTGTAGCTTGAAATGTTTGATTCGTAGGTGCTTTGTTTGTGTCCTTCTCCTTCAGTAAGTAGGACAAGCTCAAAGTCTCAAGCTGCACAGGACTTGACAATACAAAGAATCCTTCTGACTTTAAACAGCCCACGGAGCCGAACCTGTCCTTTACCTTCCCATGACGCTGCAGTACATGCAGCTCTATTTAGTGTTGCTCTTAGCAAGATCCTAAAAATATCCAAGTCCTTTCTGCAGTGGGCGCATCACTGAAGATCCAGTGACACTTTTTAGAAGAACAGCTTTGCCTTCTCCTTCCCCTATGCTGCTACAGGGCACTTAGCTGAAGCCCTTCACCTCAGAAATGGTTTTACACCCTTTTGATCCCATTTAAATGATTTTATGATAATCTGAACTATGAGGGAACCTTTCAGACTGAGAAGGAAAACGCAAGCGTAAAGCTGTCTTAGGATCTTAGAGAAGAGCAAGACCCACTCAAGCAGTTCAGTAAGTCAGTTACAAGATTCATAAAATATGGCCAATAAGCCGCATTGTTAAACCACCATTACTTCCAGTGAAAAGTTGTATGTTTAGACGACTCTTTAAGCTGCAATTGCTGCTGTACACCCACCCCAGAGCATCACCACCCAGCTGGGAGAGGCATTTAATGTCCTGCTGCTGCTTGATACAACAGAAGCAAATCAACATAGGGCAACACCGATTCCAAAACTGCATCTCCTGTGCTGCATCCACATGGCAGAGAGACAGGAGCTCTCTTGTCTCCTGAGCTGGACGCTCCCCTTGCTCTTTCCTTACTGCACTATTTGAACTTGGAGGACAGGACACAACTCTTGGTCCTACTCTAACCCTTAAGGAACTCAACATCAGTTTTGTATCATTAAAAACAGGATGGGATTAAAATGTGTGCTCAAGTGAGTTCTTCCTCTAGCATAGCTTCCATCTCCAGAAAGGATGAAAAGCTGCTTGAATTACAAAGTATGACACAGATCTGTAGCATAAAACTACGTAAGCAGCTTTGAAACAGAACCAAAACTCAAGTCTTTCCCCTTCCCAAGCAAATGCCTTCACAGAGGTGGCAACGTCCCCCCTTTCTTTGCACCTGATAACCTTGACGTGGTTTGTGCAAAGCAAAAATGTAGCAGGAAGGGAGGAGACAAGTGTCAGCAGCCTCTGCCAACTTGTTGCCTGGTGGCCGTTTTTGGGAGGTGATACATGTTGGCTTTCAAGGTTTCCAGATGAGAGATGGAAAGCAATTGCCCTTTCATGGCACAGAGCTCTGCCAACTACGCATCTCCACTTCCCAAAGTATCTTATGAGACACAAAAGGGGCTGTGCTTTGGTCCAAGACAGTATTTGTAGCTGTGAACTAAATATTGCAGGGTAGACGCTTTCTGCTAAAGTTACATGCCTGAACAAGGAAACAGGGGAAGACAAGGCACCGGTACGGGGTTCAACGAGTGTTTGCCAGGCTGCTGGTGGCTGTAGGTCTTGCACAGAGCTGAACTCCCTGCGTGACACAAGGAGCCGGGCACTTATGTCAGGCTTGCGAGAGTTTCGTGCTGCAATACTGAACTGACCCTACCTACCAACGTTTCTGGATCCAGCCCATGTTCCTTAGAGCCTGGAAAAGACTCCAAAGGTAAATGTTGGAAGCTACAGCATGGTGATTTTAAATGAGAGCTGGCCAAGAACTGTGTGACAGGCAAAAATGCCACACTGGCAGCAAACAAACACAAAAACTTGACAAGTTCACTGTGGCAAGTTCTTCGTGCCAACATACTGTATTAAGGAAAGCCCTCTTTGGTTGCTCACACTAGATTTCAGCCCTTCTCTTTTCCTTAAAAGACTTAAACACAAAAGCCTTGCCATTCAGCAGAAGCTACATCATTCAAATCCCTGGACTCGAGAACAGGGACATTGACACAAGAAGATACATTGGCAAATTGGGTGCTCAGGATCGTACTATGCTGCAGTAAAGATTAGCAATAAAATTCACTTTTAGATTAAAAACCTTTAAAATTGTCTATTTGGATATCATGTACGGTATGCAAAAAGTAAGTGTGGTTTATTACTATTAAAAAACTACTACAGACTGCATTCGGTTCTTATCTGTCTTGGTGTTAGTTTGGAACAACTCCACAGGCTTGAACTGAAACAGATGATTTACGCTGAGCATATGTCAATTTTAGGGTTCATTTAGGAAGGCAGCTGGATAACAGAGCCTAGGAACTCTGAATGAACACAAACCGTTTCACAAGGTCCTGAAATGAACCCGAACCAAACTACCAGCATTTTCAAGTAACTTTTACTCCTACGGCCTTTTTATTTTGAACACAAACCAGCCTTTTTCTCCTTCGCTACTCAATCACACATGGCAGGAGATTAAAATATTTTCCCAGTTGACTGTATTATGCTTTGCATCTGGGAACTGGGTTTTAATACCTTCAGATATGTTTGCTATTTGATGTGATTTTCTGAATAAACTGGGTTGTTAAGATAATGAACAAGTCCATGACTAGAGCTGCCATTAGACAAGTGACCCTTTTTTTTTTTCTGGAAGGCACATTTATGCATGCAACAGGTAACGGTTATTTTTCAGTTTGTACTTTAATCTCTAGCAGTCTTAACTATGATACTAGGCTAAAAGTATGCTAGTTGAAAAGCAATTTGAAAATATGTCCAGCTTTACAGTGTTTAAGTGGTTTGAGCTGACACAGCAAAAGCTGCTGGAACAGAAGTACCAGCGCATTGACAGGAGCAGCATTTTACAGCGATAAAAGGTGTTTCTGCTTATTTGTCTGAAATTACAAAAACCTGGGGGGCTGGCTTTGGGCTCAGTCCCAGGCCGGTGCCCCAGCGCGCTCCCTTCCCGGCAGCCACACAGAAACCGCCTCTCGCAGTTTGGGGATGGGGGAAACGGAAAGTATGTGTGGAAAAAACCCAAAAAACCCAAACTCCCTTACCTGCGGTATCGTACAAATTCAGGGTGACCTCCTTTTTGCCCACCGTGACGCTGGTCGTGTATTTCTCGAAGACGGACGGGGCGTACTGCTGCAAAGGGAGGAGAGGCAGGTCGAGCTAGGGACAGGCAGCTCGCAGCCAGCACCGGCC